GAGAGAGAGAGAGAGCAAGGGAAACATTGAGCATAGAGGGATCTTTTGTTCAAAAGTTGACCATCTCGGTCGAGCGCATGAAGCGAAATGATTGTGCGTTCGTATTTTTTCGTAGCTCGAACCTAAAAGTAAGGAGCCGAGCGAGTCCAAAGTCTGGGGTGTTAAAGCCTCAAAAAAAGCGTGCAAAAAGCTTTCCACTAGTTGTCTAGTCTATGTGTTCTCTGGTTAGTGCTAGTAAGAAACCTGTAGTCGAGACTGCCCGACTACGAGATCCTGAACTGGATTGCTGGCAACTGATATTTCAATAATTATTCACACATGCACACACACACGCGCACACACAACCATACGCACGCACGCATAAACACGCATTGGCTGCAGTGGTGGCTTACTATGGGAAGTTAATTGTTTAATAACTTTTCTTGTGGATGGACTATCTTCATGAAACTTTCAGATTAAGGTTATAACATAGATATGCCTGTATTTTTCCAAAGCACAAATGATGGTGAGGGGGTGAATTAGGGGTGGGGGTAAATTTTTAAATTGTATTAAATGCATATAAGTATACATTTAAAGTTTGGAGACTCTAGCGTTAAAGATGTAGGAGATATAAATTTATTATTGGTTGTCGATCATGTTTTTATTCGATAACCAAATAACGGGGCAATTTATCGATATTTAAAGCAAAACTCGATATGCGCGTGCTATACACGGACCTAGGGAAAAAAATTTCTCTAGTTCTTATACCTTCTGAGATTGACGCGTTTAAACATGCGGACAGACGGATAGAGCTAAATCGACTCAGCTCGTCGCCCTGATCAAGAATACATATATTTTACGGGGTCTGCCACGCCTCCTCCTGCCTGTTACATACATTTAACAAAACCATTATACCCTGATTTCCCATTGAAAATGGGTTCAGAGTATAAAAAGCCACAACAAGTCGGGTATAAGCACTTACCCGAGTGGTATAGGCATCGCTAGCATTTTCGATTTCACGCGATAAACCAAAATCGGCTATTTTGCAGATTAGTTGAGCATTGACGAGAACATTGCGAGCCGCCAAATCCCGATGGACGTAATTCATGTCGCTTAGGTAGGACATGCCGCTAGCAATACCCCGGAGCATCACAATGAGCTGCAGAGTTTGAAATTTTCCATCGTTGACTCGCAAAAATGTGTCCAGGCTGCCGTTTTCCATATATTCGGTTATAATCATCACCGGATTGGAGCGCGTCACGACGCCTTGCAGGTATATGACGTTCGGATGATCGAATTGCCCCATTATAGAAGCCTCAGTTAGAAAATCGCAACGCGCCTTCTCTGAGGACCCTGAGAAGAACAGATACAGATATGTATTAGCTACTGGAGTCTAACCAAGAATATGTCCTTGCATTTCTACTAAATTTTCTGTCAAGTCAGTTTATGTCACATTCCACAAACCCATTTAATATCAACATAAAAAGTGAGTAAGAGAAATTTACGCATAAAAAGCGAAGTAAAATGATCGATTATTGTCATCGATGATTGTTATCGAAAATATATCGTAAAAATATAAAATTTAAAATTTCTAGTTCTTATGGCTTAGATCTCAATTATCAATAGATAATCCGCGCTTTTTTGCAGGCTACATACACTATCGCTAAAATATTGAATAAATAAGTAAGAAAAGAATACACATTCACAGCCCATCACCCGAAATATTCAGATAAGATTTACCCTAGTGGGCGCGCAAAATTTCAACGTTCTAGCTTCAAAGCTGTAGATGATACAGTTTTACCCGATTTGTCACGCCCATATATTTTTGGTCTTGGTACACGAGTCTATGTTCCAAATTTCAAGCCTAAGGTTTCCGTCATGCGCACAGACGGACGAAGAGCAAGCATTGCACATAAGTATAAAAACATTCAAATTTAATCACGAGTTGTACAATATATATGGTACCTGGCTTCAAGGTTTTGATTGCCACGTCAATGTCCTGGACAAAATTTGGAGGAATTTTAAGACGACCACGGCACACATCTCCGAATTCTCCACCGCCTAAATAAATAAATATGTTTCTTGAATGAAATGATTTCTTTTTATTTATTTTATTTATTATTTTTTTTTTTTACCAATTATCGCCTCAATTGTAATATAATTTGCATCGATTTCACGAGCAAATTCTCTGATTGCTTGGTTAGGATCCTCATATGTGTGCGGATCAACGTAACTGCGACTATTACCAAATAAAGGAGTCGTCACTGAAAGAAAAAGTATTGAAACAAACAATTTGAAATATGTTATAAATTAGCTGGGAAATATGTAAATAAAAGTATTGGTTAATAATTATATATATATA